TAAATAATCACAGGGAAATTCACTCTTTGTGAAAGCTTTTGCATGCATGTGTAAGAATGCGTGTGTTTTGGTGTAAATGACAAAGCTTACGAGTGTTTATCACTTTTATTGCACTGAAATAGTCTTCTGTGCTCATGCTGCATAATAAACTCTTGCAGAGTAACTCTACACACACCTAGTATTTCTGTGGCACGGCGCTGCATGTTTTTAGCCCATGTCACTCTGCCTGCACCTGTGGTGGTACTGTGTTAGCGTTTCGCTCCACAGTGTGTAGCATAAACGGTGGGAACACACACCGAACCACAGAAACATGCTCATTTTTTACTTTACAACGCAATTTTGGCTTGTCAAAATATATGGTTAATGTTAGTCATTGTGGTTTTCTGAAGTTAAGGGCCCAGTAAAGCTAAATACTGTAATTTCATAAATATTTTTCAGATACAATTTTACACAGTGTAATTGACAAAACTAAAATGTAAATGTCATAGATGGAGAGACAGACAGATAGATGAATGGACAGGCAGAGAGAAAGACAGACAGTCAGACGGAGAGATAGAAATGTAGGATTTCTCCATCAGTAATATTCCTGCTTTCCGGTATCCCGCTGACACAGTCAGACAGGGACAATATTAGTGACGTATTCCTCCATGTCAAAGATTTGCTCAAGACTCTACAGCAAGACGTCTTTACTAAAAACAGACAAGCACAGTCCTGTCCTGGTCCAAGACACACAGAGAAATGAGACCGCAAGAAAGGGGGACATGGAGGTCAAAGACAGACAGAAAGCTAATATTGTATGTTTTTTAAGTTAGAGAAAGGATACAACAATATTAATTAATTTTTAAATATTGTTTGCAATGTTTCAGAATCTGTTATAGCCTATAATATACACCATCTTTCAAAATTTTGTGGTTACTAAGTTTTTTTTTTAAATGTTTCTTAAAGAAGTCAAGGTTGCATTTATTCAATCAAAAATACACATTTACATTTTTTATGCTTTTGGGAGATTTTGTTTTTTTTGCGAGCGCCGTGCTCTACTGTTTGAGCTACAAAACATTCTGTAAAAACAGTCATATTACGAAATATTAACGCAATTTAAAACTATTTTCCATTGTATTATATTTTAAAATGTCATTTATTCCTGTGATAACAAAGCTGAATTTTCAGCATCATTACGCCAGTCTTCAGTGTCACGTGATCCTTCAGAAATCATTCTAATATGCTGATCTGGTGCTCAAGAAACATTTCTTATTACTATCAATGTTGAAAACAGTTATGCTGCTAAATATTTTTGTGGAACCTTTTGTAACATTATAGATGTCTTTACTGTCACTTTTGATTAATTTTATGCATCCTTTCTAAATAAAAGTAATTCCTTTAAAAAAAAGCATGACATGAAATGGTTGGAAGAAATCACTTTATAGTCTTGTCTTCTGTATCTCAGCACCTGAACCTTCCGATCCCATCCCACCATCTCTGCAATGTCTTGCCATTTTTGACATTCTCTATTTTGGTCCCTGTTTCTTTACCTCTGCCAATCTGCCTGCCAGACGGACCTGCACACAGGAATCCTCCATCCCACCTTAAAACCTCTGACCACATAGCAATGTTGAGTTCCTTTATCACAGCATGCGCAGCCAAACAGACTGGAATTAAGGCACATGCATGACCAGTAGGTGAAAAACACAGTGGCTGTGAAAATATGGGAAAGAGGAAGGAGGCGGCGAAAAAGAGTCTCGTAAATACCTTCTAGTGCCGATATTAGTTACATTGATTCATCCCCCTGAAGACACTGGCCACGGGTCTCCTCAGAGAGTGATGATATAGTGTCATGTTTCTGACCAGTTTCATGGTTAAAGATTTCTGTAGTTTTTACTGTGGACCCAGTCAAAACCAAAGAAATCTTTACTACTCCGTTTATACACATATTCAACTGTGTTGAGTCTACATGTCTCCTGAGACTAAATAGCGTGCCAAGTTTACAGAAACAGGTGTATGTTAGATTAACCCCGAGAACACGACAGAAAGAAAAGTCATTCTCCATATGAGCTTACAAAATGCCTCTCCATAGACAAAATCACTTGCAGTTCATCAGGCTAGAACCCAGAGCTTGTGCTGATACTTCTGACTTCTGTCTATCTGCTTTGGTGATTGTGCCTGTGTAAATGCAGCAAGACGGCGATTCTGCCCACAAAAACACTGAACCAGATGAACATCCTCGATGCCCGGCTAGTCTTTCCCAGCCTGGGCTGTAGGATGACTTCATGCCTGGCACTAATGTCTGTTTGTATTGCAAACATGGAAATGGAAGTTGTGCAGACAGCGATGTTCAGACGACTCTGTAGAATGAGATTCACACATTTAGGCTGCACATAGGTTGCAATGAGTGTGAAAAAAAATGTGCATGTGTTTTTCACACTTATTTGTGCACATACACAAAAACATACTGGAGCATCTACCACTCTTAAGGCCGGTTTACGCCAAACACAATAACTATAAAGATAAAAAAAATATTGCAAAACTATATCTAAAAGAATATAAGATTCCACACCACAACTAGACTGATAATGGGCACGATATCATTGAAATTGCTTTTTCAGAATAATTTTTTTCCAGCTGAAGAACAATAAAAATATTGACAGCCAGTCATAATCCATTTAAAGAGCTCAGACATTTCTGTTTGCAGACAACAGAACTGCAAATCATGCTTATAATAAGCTAAATGATATTGTGTGATGGTGTGGAGTTAAGGCCTATTCACACCAAGAACAATAACTTATAATAACAATAACACCAGTGGATTCTGAAGGGCGTTTTTTTTTTTCAGCTGAAAATTTTGTTCCTCTTTGTTGTTATCGCTATAATGCTATAAGCGTGGTGTGAACACCCCTATTCTCATAGAACTAGAATACATTTTAAAACGGTGTCTTTATTGCTATAGTTATTGTTCTAGGCATGAACAGACCTTTAGGCTTATATGTGACCCTGCACCACAAAACCAGTCATGAGTAGCACGGGTATATTTGTAGCAATATCCAACAATACGTTCGTTGTATGGGTTAAAATTATAGATTTTTCTTTTATGCCAAAAATCATTAGGATATTAAGTAAAGATCATGTTCCATGAAGATATTTTACTACCGTAAATATATTAGTAATATGCATTGCTAAGGACTTCATTTGGACAACTTTAAAGGCAATTTTCTCAATATTAAAATTTTTTTTGCACCCTCAGATTCCAGATTTTCAAATAGTTGTATCTCAGCCAAATATTGATATACAACTTTCAAATAGTTGTATCTCAGTCCTATCCTAACAAACCATACATCAATGGAAAGCTTATTTATTCAGCTTTCAGTTGATGTATAAATCTCATTTTGGGAAAATTGACACTTAAGACTGGTTTTGTGGTCCAGGGTCACATATAATAAATGACTCTCATTCTAAAAAAAAAGTTCACCCACAGTATTCATCACAAAGCAGCCATACAGTATATTGATTGCTAGTTAGTCATTTAGCTGGTCAATTTATCTTTTAGTCAGTGCCTCTATCCAATATGATCCAAAGCAACATTTGTATGCCATGGAACATTTCTAAAGGTCACTGCTCTTGTTCAAACAACATGTCTTTAAGTTGAAGAGTCAACATTAGGACATTTTCAAAGGCTATTCTTGGTTTATGGTGGGCAAATGCATGCAAACCCATTGAAAATATACACAGAACATAATTTCATGGTTCATGGAACAGCTCTGAAATAACAAAAGAAGACACAGTCAACGTGCACACACACACTTACGGACAAAACATACTTTTACATTTGACTTCACTTTACAAAACGTGAGGCTAAGTTTATTCAAGTGGGAGAAATCATAAATTTAAACACATTTTCTGATTATGATTTTTGTTAAGGTACAGGCATGCTCATGAAGGAATAACTTGAAGGATTTCAAACTGGTACCACTTAACTTACTGAAAAAGCCAGACCAAAATCTTTAAGCTATTTTTTTTTCCGGTAGGGAAATTGTAGCAAATGTCAGCCACGTGACTAATATTAAGAAAATTCTAAACAACAAAATGCCTTATAATGCATACAGTCCAAGGATAAACACTTTGTGTACTAATCTCCATATATTGAAGTAGTTTACGGTTTATAGAAAGATTGTGTATGACAATACTACATACTACTAGATAAAGATGAATGAAGATTTAATTAGGTAACAATACTAATTAGCTACTTAACGGTAACCCAGTTTTAACAATTAGGCCTACAAACTTTTTAAATATTTCTCATCGTTGTAGCAGCTGCCAGCAATGCAAAACTAACAGCGCCACCTTGTGATGTCTATATGCTACTACATACAGACTCAGTTCGACATTGAGCACTTCATAAAATGATTAGAACTTATTTCTAATCAATGAACAACAACAGAACAAAGGGAAACCACAAATTGATATGAATATAAAATGTAAATAAATAAATAATCTGAAATCAAATTAGAACGAACATTTACATGGCGTTTTTATATTCAATATTTACATTTAAATTCGAAACATGTTACTTTTACAAAATCGTGCTTGATAAATAATTAGAAAAGTTGTCCACGTTGTTTCTTAAACGACCGTTTAAACCAAACATTCGACTGTTGCGAAATTAGCAATCCTATTACTTGTGAATATTAATATTAAACAACGAATCTGTTTATGACCGCTTGCCAACATCCAATCACACAATTCATCTTTATGATCCCAACAGTCACTGTAGTAGAGGACATCTTAAATTCGCATTTGGCGCCAGAGCTACACTGCAAAAGAGAAGTGTAGCAGGCTGCTGAACATATAAAAACAAGAGAAAACTGCAAAAGTGAGGTGACATAAGGTCACTCACGGTCACTAGTCACGTACACACAAACACGCAGAACGGTCAACTCTCGACTGAACAGCTACATTAACTACTTCATTAACTAACAGCCTTTGTCTTTTCTACATTTCATATATCCTACATCTGTGAGCTGACATTTTCTTACAACACAAGCCAGTTTGCAATATCTCCTATATCTGATTCATTACTCATTACTCCCCCTATCTCTCCATTACAGATCTGCCCATGCACTTGACCAAATATAAACTTCACGATTCTTGGCAGACAGACAGATTTTAGTGGGGAGGAGTCTCATGGTTTAGGCCAGGACAGACCAAAGGACAAACAGACAGAGGTGTAGAAAGAGAAAGTGGCTAATAACTGAGGAACAAAGAACGAAAACACCTGACCACCCTCTTTGGAAGCAGAGTAAGTGAGTGTCCTTTGCATCAGATGTATAGTTTTAGCTGTTTTGAACTGTAGGCGTAAAATATTAAGAGCAATGGAGGAGTATTTCATTCTTTAACAGCAGTAATGCAACACACGGCCCACAACGGACAGCTTGTTTGTCCTTGTGCAAGGGACATGAGCTTTATTCAACAAATCTAAATAATCTCATCTAAATGTATGACAGTTTTTCTGTAATGGCTACATGTGCATAGTTTCAAGGGGGTTTAAGATTTCAAATAGCATTCAGCATCGAAGGACAGAACTTTTTTTTAAAGGGACGAGATAAGCAACAGGCCACAGCCTGGCTAATATGTGAAACAATCAAAACTTTAGAAGGAAATATCTGAGTTACTTTGTTTCCATGTATTGACTGACAGCTCTGGTGTTGCCATGTTGAGAGAAATCCAGAGTAAGTGCAGAGTGTTGTGTGTGAACATGATCTTACTGTAGCTCTAGACTAAATATGAACATGTGTTTACTCATCTCACCTGCACAAAAACACATTCAGTATAGTTACTTTTTTTTGAGGGAGTAACGCAATATTGTAATGCATTACTTTTAAAAGTAACTTCCCCTAACACTGTATATATATATATATATATATATATATTAAACCGAAGTATAGCAGAACAATTATGTAACATTTAACAATCAACAAAATCCTTCTCTAACTATATAAGGAGGCCACACAAAGTTTACATGGATATAATGGAGATACACATCAGGATTGGTCATTATCTGACCTCAAACTTCACATCACCTTCACTTTAACTACTGATCAAACCCACAGTAAATGTGCAGACAGGTGCACGACTTCTCTTCATGCTTTATGCTTCAGTTGTCACCTCGACTCTTGCTGTTGTTTCACGGTTTGTTGAAGGCACTATTTTAGTTTGTGTTGACAAATAACACCGAGACTTACACAGCTGACATTTCACGGGTTTGTGAACAAGTAGAAAGTTGTTACATTTGACTTTTGGACAATTTCTCTTGCATAAAAGGATCTTTATTACTTTTCAGTTGTAATATTTTGAACGTTTTATACTATATTCATAAAGTTTTAGAAATAAATACTATTATTCAGTGAAGGGTACATTAAATTTATCAAAAGTGACAGTAAAGACATTTATAATGTTACAGATGATTTCTATTTCACATAAAAGAGTCCTGAAAAAATGTAACTCTTTCTTGAGCAGCAAATCAGAATATTAGAATGATTTCTGAAGGATCATGTGACACTGAAGACTGGAGTAATGATGCTGAAAATGTAGCTTTGCCATCACAGGAATAGGTTACGTTTTGTATTATATTGCACAATATTATTACATTGACAATATTAAAATTTAATCTAAGTGTAAAAGTGATGATAATTTTAAGTGTTGCTTACTGTCTGTGCTTCAGAGATGGCGATGTCTCCCACTGCTATGGTGGCCCGCCGGGCTCTTGCTGCTGCATCACAAGGAAGCCATGAAGGAGGAGGTTTGAGATGGTTTTTCTTGGGCTGGGCTAGATGAAACAGGGTAAAATAAGCAGATGTTATCCAGTATGGATAGGCAAGTTCTCATGAACCATAATAAAATATTACTTTATTACCTAAAAAATCAAGAATGTCAAAAAAATTATATAATTTTCAGGTTATTTACACATTCACACAGTAAGAAAAAAATACTGACACAAATAAGATCATTTAAAAACATTTACGTAATAATCAATGATTCTAATAATAGATGTACTGATGATTTGAATCATACACAGCAAGGACCTGGAAGATCCTGTCCTTCGTATTAGCCCTTCCCGGTGTGGGTGTCTGCATGGCAAACGTTTACATGAAGATGCAGGCCCATTCTCATGATCACCCAGAGTTTGTGCCATACCCACACCTCCGCATTCGAACCAAGGTGCCTATACTCTTGTGTTTTTCAGTCAAAGTATGCATGATGTGGACTTCTCTCCGATTCCTCTACAGACATAGAAGAAAATGTTGAGGCCTTCACTTTGTAAAACATCCGAAATACATTGGACATGACATGAATCATTTTCAAATAGCATTGTCTTTCTTTCACAGCCATGGCCATGGAGTGATGGGAATCACTCCCTCTTCCACAACTCTCACACGAACCCTCTGCCCACCGGTTATGAGGGACCTCACCACTGAGCAGGACGCCCCCTGCTGTCTCAACTGTCCGTCCCCTCAGACGCCAATCAACACTGATGGACAAGCTTCTAACATTTTTAACAGAAATAAACAACAGTTTTCACATTAATTTTGTGTGTGTGAGACTGATTATGAAAGGTCCCAAACAATACATGGTTAAGACTATTTGAAGTATTTATTTAATTCTATTTAGTATTGACTCAATTTGCCAGTTGCCAAATAAAAAGTCCAGGACTGAACTGAGAACAAAAAAAAAACATGAAGAAATTGCTCAATCCAAATGAGGCACAAATTCTAGAAGAAAACAATGTAGACAACATTAATGCAGAGCTCATTTATTGAGAACCATCCTCTGCCTTCCACCAACATTTGGCCATTTCCATGATTCAATTTCTCATATATATACACACAAAAAAAAAAAAGATGGCACTCCAACATACATCAGATAATCCAGACTTCTATAAACGAATAAAGTGGCATATACAAAAAGAAAAATATAGCAAACATAAACAGCTCTTTCTACTTGTCATTCTATTATTCACATAACATACTGTACAAAATCATGTACAACATCTGGATGCACTGTGATTACCATGGAATCAGCATCAAACCCTTTTTTGCAAAATAAGATGAATAAATGAAGTTAAACAAAAAAAAAACAACTTCAAAAAAAACAAAAACACGTAGTTGGTCATTCTACTCCATATACAAACACATCTTGGGGGGAAAAAAACGTGCACATGAAAATAGTAGGAATTAGAATACTCTAAAGTATTTTTCAAAATATTTTTGCTAACTGAAGTTGAATGAAAATCTTGTCCCAAACATCCCAAAAATTCAGTACTTCCCATTCCCTTTTTGTGTGTGCATTAAAGCAGCTATTAAATTTGTTTACACCATCAATTTATTACATTCATTTCACTATCCACTACTGTTTGCCCTTTAGCTGAGGGCTGTCTTGACGAGGTTTAAGATGTCCTGCCTCAGCCCTTCTGTGCAGTCCGCCTCTTGCGCCAAACACAGGAAGCAGTCAGTGGAGAGGGAGGGGTGAAGGGGAGCAGGATGGAGCCCCTGAGGCCGCAGCAGCATGGACAGACAGGCCTGGCCCAGTCGCAGGTAAGAGTAGCGCTGTGAGAACCAGTACACTTGTGGCAGCAGAGACCTCAGCCAAGCTGCCTCAGTGTCAGAAGTTGATGACGGAACTGGTTTGGAACTTTGAGAGGATTTAGAATGTTGTTTGGAACACTTTGACACTTCAGTTTTAGTCAACTGTGGTGATCCTTCAGGACCCTTGCAGACCGAACCAGCATCCATTCCATCTTTCGAACAGCAACGTTTGGTCAGGCTCCGTATGACTGAGTAGAGAAGGTCCATACTTAGGTCCTCAGCTGACCTCTGTAAACCAGGTACTAAAAACCTACAAGCCCCAATCATCACTTCAGCCAGTGGGGTTTTCTGGAATTCCTTCTCTTCTGCCAAGCATGATTCAACCTGGTCCTGTGGTCTAAGCAGCCCATGAGAGGCTAGAGAGGACAAAACAAGACAACTTGTATCATGCTTTGACATCCGGTCTTTGTTTCCGTCAGTCAAACAACAGCCGTGTAAGTAGTGGAGAACAGGTAAGAGCATCCCACTGTTTACATCCTTGATCCGGATGGCCTCACCTTTAGCTTTCTGGGCCTCCCCAAATCCTCCCATCAAGAGGGCTCTAAAATACTCAGACCCAACGTCTTTGGCTCCCTCTTCCCCAGTGACAGCCTCGTGATTGGCTAGTAGAAGGGTTCCATCGTCAAGGAGGAAAGTTAGGTCATGAGTTGCCTTCAAGTAGGGACATGACTGGTTTTGTTGCGGGTGGGATTTGTTATCCAGAAATTGGGTTGTCTCTGTTCTGGTCTGGCAATCTATGCTACAATTCTTTCTGTCCTCCTTGGAACTTGACAGCAGACTGGAGAGGCAGCCAATCAGAAGAGAGACGTACAGGGATTTAAATCTCGAAGGGGATGGTTGTTCAAGAGGATGCAACCAGCCGGCAAGAAATGCCCAACATCTGTCAGATTGTCCATCTTCATCATCATCTTCTCTGTGACAGCCAATCAGTTCAAGAGCTGCTGCCAGCCCTCCACTATCCAAAAGCAGCTTCTTCAAAAGAACTCTATTGCTGCAGAGGAAAAACAAAGAAGGTGATCAAATCAGCTACATGGGACAAGAGTGGCATTTGCTTTTTGTTCTATTAATTTCTTTAAAAAGACATTAAAAACATGATTCTTACATGCAATTACTTGAATACACCTCTTGTGTAGTGAACATGTTTTTAAGATATATATTAAAATTCACTTAAACATTTTGGGAGGATGGTTCAATTTGACCTTTTTATGACAAGTCAAGCTCAGTTAAGGCTGGTGCAGCTCCCTAAAAACTTGATATCCATGAATTGATTTAGTGTAACAGTCACAAGTAAAAATCCCACTTATTTTCTCCATTGGGGAATTGATTTTAACAGTAACTTATAAACCTTTAAAGACAGACATACTCTGAGCTGCAAGGTTGTTAATTAATGGTGTAGCTTTTGTTGAAACCATCAGCCCACATTATGACAACTTTTTAAAACATTCTTCTCAACAGCAGAATTCATGGTGAATGACTATGATTCCGTAAAGAAATCTCCACCAATCTAATAAACGAAACTAGCAAATCACACCAAAGGTACAGTT